AGTCATCCGGGACCTCACCTGACAGCCACGACTTCTCAAATATGATGGAGAGTGGCTCGGCAACCACCTCAGCCAGCTCTTTCAGGACCCTGGGATGCACGCCATCCGGCCCCATAGACTTGTATTCATTCAGTCTAAGGAGGCACTCTCCTTATCAAATCAAATCAAGTCTCCTAATCCTATCAAATCAAGGCTCCTAAGTATGCAACTGAATTAGCTTCTGGTTTAGCAATTCTTCCACAACTCAGAAGTTATACTGAGTATCATAGAATCATAGAATCACAAGGTTGGAAAGGACCTATAAGATCATCTAGTCCAACTGTCCTCCTATCACCATTACAACCCATTAAGCTACTATGTTTAAGAGCTTCCCTACTGGCAACTGAAGAACAGTTATGTAAGAATTTTAAGAAACAAAATTGAAACAGGCCCATGGATGCAGCAGAATCTCTCTCTATGGAGATGTTCAATCCATGGCTGGACATAGCATTCACCAACCTGCTCTATGTGGCTCTGGTTTGAGCAGGAGCCTGGAGCACAGACTCTGGGTAGAGATCCTTCAAAACTATGTGATTTTGTGTCTTTCATGCTGTGACATTCAACAGTAAAAATCTATGCAGTGGTGGAAAGTTATAAGATGAAAAAATAAGTTGGCATCTGAAACCCAGCTTCCATATTCTTCCTTTTCAGAGTGCAGATATGTTTCTGATGTTGCTTAATAGTAGTTTACAAAAAGATAGCAGGACATTTTTTACAGTACCAAGGTTGTACTACCTGTGAAAGCCAGAAAAAAAGCCCCAAACATTATCCTTGTGAAAATTAGGGTAATGGGTCAAGTAAAGCAAAGTAAATGTCAGAGTGTTGGAGGGAGATACACTAATCCTAAGTTCATATGTCCACCTCTGCAGGAGCAGCCTTTCTGCGGGCTTTGCACTAGTCAGAATTTCTGCAGAATATGGCAAGGATATTCTCTGGAGAGCAGGTCACAGTCCCTAACACTCACCTGAGATTTGTCCTGCCCAAAGTAAGTGCCACTATCTACACCTGACATAGTTCCTCCAACCTCCTTGTTGATATAATGAGAAATGCAACCTTCTGGCAAGAAGCAAGGGGAAAGTTGAGACAAACTGGCTCAGACAACATCCATGGCTCCACAGAGTTGGGTAAAAGCTACCCCAAGGCCATTACATTAAGAAATACTGCAGGCACTTGCCTTTGAAACAAGAACATACTCTAAGTAAGTGAGTGAAATGAAAAGAAATTGAAGAATTAATTAACCAAATAGAGGTGATTAAAGTAAATAAAGGAAACAATTATCATATCAAAATAAAAGACAAGGAAGATGATTAAATGAGTCTTCAAAAGACCCATGAGAAACTCATGAAAGACATAATATGCATTTACCTGGTTTTCATTCTTTCTTGATTTCATTTTCATTTTTATTCACTAACATCTGATAATTGCAAGAAACAGTTACTTTAACCATGGGCAATTTAAACCATTTTAATTTTTTTTCCAGGGCCAAGAGACAAAAGAACCTATTTATTGCCTGAGGGGATTTTTACTAAAATGAAAGCTTAATCTTTTATGTTTTTTTAAGCAAAGGCTTTTAAAAAATCATTTCTAACAATGCTGTAGGGAGAGACTTCCATGGGCATGCAAAATTGAAATTATAAATTTACAATTATAAAAAAATTAATAGTTTGGGGGATTGCATTGTCTCTGTTCTTTCTGAATGAATAGTGTTTCAAGCTTAAGAGAAAGTATTTAGTACATGAAGGAGAACGACTGTCCTTAGACTCTGTGGCGGTCAAAGCTTTTTAATAAGTATACAGCACATATGAGAGAAAGATCATTGGAATTTAATTTGCTTGGAAATATGTGAATCTTGAAGAAAGAGTTTCGTACAAATTGAACAATCACTACTGAATCACAGTGAATATTTTTCTTGTGAGCATGTTGCAATTAGAAGTCAGCAGCAGAACTTGACATGCTCAAACATCAGATACCATGGTTTCTCACCTCCTGGCCTGTTTTTCTGTGTTGCCAATGCATCAAAGTTGGTCTGACCTCCATCAGTCTGATGCATTGAAGGTTGCTAATCTTATCTATGTAAACTTAAGCTGCGAGATGAATTTGAATGGAAGTAATTAACAATAATCTGGGATTCTTATGACAGACACAGACAAAGGACAAAACAAGAGCATGGGTGGTCCCGTGTGGGGCCTCGTGTTGGACTCAATGATCCTTATGAGTCCCTTCCTACACGGGCTGTTATATGATTCTGTGATTCCAGGTTTTGGTCGAAGACACATTCAAGAGAGATCTTCAGGAAGGATAGAATTACATAAGGGTAAAAATGTGGATGTGACTTATGATGTGGCTGGCACAGTTTAAGGCATATTAGAAGTACGTGCTCAAGTCCATTCCTGTTCAGAGTAGGATTTTGGCTTTAACAGCATCAAGGAAATAATTCAATTTAAGCATGTACCCTTACACTCTCCTAAATTTGGGTAGTTTTCTGAACTGAGAAATATTAATTTAATGCATTATCTGGAGAGACACAAACATTTCTTACTGGGGTTTGTGCAGGCTTTGAAATCAGACAAAATAATTTACACTTATGAAACACAACAAACTGAAGTGTTCTATTAAAAGAAAACTGGAACAAAAAAATATCCTCAAGGCCTCCAAACATTCACACTCTGAGAGGCACATTTAAATGTTTTCTGCCAACATATTTCAAATTCTAATGAAAATACTTTGAGCTACTCTGACAAGCTTTATTGAACTAAATTCATTTCATACAGAGCAGAGAAGAGCCATTGAAAATACTGTTTAGGTTTAAAAAATACTTAATAGGGTAGAGAATGTGGAACAAGGTAAGAAAGCTCAAACTGAAAGACATTTTATCAGGGGTTGTTTTTAGGCTGGTTGTGCAATAGAAACAGGTTAAGGAAGCTACTAGATACGGATTTTCTCTTTGGTACGCCAACCTGTCTATAAGACTGTCTATAGGAAGCACTGTCATTCAGAATACACCATTTCAGAGGTTAAATGTCCCAGATTTTTTAAAAATATCATACCTTTAAAGTGTGAGCCAGAATAATTAACCTCTTTGGAAAACCCTGCTACTTGCTCTAAGATGGCACCCCAAGAACTCTTATATTGAAGAAATACCTTCCCAGCCAAAGCATCTTCCTAAGCTTCTGCAGGCTTGGACATGGGCTAAAGTCACCCATCCATCCAGGCATTCAGGAGCCTGGGTTAGGAGGGACCAGCAACTCAGCCAGGCTGGATAAGGAGATTGTGTTAGAGAGGGAGAGAGGAAAATGTGGACCTAAAATATGAATTTTGAGTCCTGTGCTAACATGGCAAGGCAAATACCACAACAGAAGTATGCTGCTGCCTGAGATTCTCATGCCCCACAACTGATAGGAAAGTTCACTTCTAGACCCTCTGTACTGCTATGCAGTATGTTTAGTTGTTTTAAGAGGTCTAGTGAGTGTAGCTCAAGAGATGCTGAGTATGCGTTGGGAGGACAGGCTACCCAGACATTTAACATCTAAATTGCAGGAAACAACTAATGTTGCAAGAAATGCAACATTTCTCTAAATAGGTGACATGAAGACAGTAGAGCAGAAGCACAGACACTCAGGCTACCCTTCTGCAATGTATTAAGATCCAGCTCCAGGATGGAGACAAGAGTAAGCTCAGACTTTAAAAAAAATAAATAAAAAATACAAAATATCAGCAAAACCAAGTCATTTTTCCCTAATTTACTTCTTAAGTCTGTTGTGCCGGATTATTTTTAGGTCAAGAGGCTCACATAAGAAACAGCAAAAGCCTACACAAACTCACTATTCAGTCAAGCTGCCTTCCATTTAACCTCTCCCCCAAATGAACAATAAAACTGTAATATAATGGTAAGTGTTGGCCAGCTTTAACACCCGGCACCACATTCGGTCCCAGTTCTATTGTGCAGTGAAGGCTGTTTTCCTTACTGATGTGCTCAAACCGTCTGCCATGAATTACTTTTTCATGGGGAATAAATACACACTTAAACAAGATTAAACACAAATGTTCTTTAGTGGTGTCTAAAATAATATGAATGTTCTTTAGAACAGCAATAAACACACTTCATGATGCAAATAATTACACCCTACAGCCTTTATCTTTACATAAGCGGCCAGATTTTCACTCAGCTACTTCACTGTAAACCCAGTATAACTACACTGAATCAACTTCTCTCTCCATGGACTTCAGGGATGCTGAAGTGTTACTAACCTCTTGATCTGCACTACCTCAGTGGCAAAGGCTTTGCAGACATGGGAAGTTCATGGATGAAAGTGTACATGTTGGCAATGGAGGCACCACTGTCTCTTAGCCTACTCCTTATTTCCCCATACAGTTTGAGGCAATTAAGTCAGATTGTGGCTGTGCACTCCTTAAGCACCTGTTATCAATTCTGATTCTCAGTTAGGACCACAAGACAGCTCCATAGAGACTACAGCAAGGAAAAGAGAAGGAAAAAAGGAGAGAAGGACTGCATAAAAAATTTATGATGGGTGAAGAAAAAAAGTGCACAATTGGCTTGGAGTCAAAGATTTGTCCCCTGGGAATTAAGAAGTACCACCTTGTTTAATCTTTCTGTAGGATGGGAAGGATTAGCTCATGTTCTGAACCCTTTCCGAGAAGTTAAAATTAACTTAAATTTCTCATGCATCTGTAAACTTGATGTAAAACTTTGCAAGACGGGTCTGTTAGGCTTTGATGACCCCTGAAATGTGTCTGCAATGGAGAACAAGTCCATATTGGACAGCTTGAAAAATAAGTTATTTTCTTAAAAATAACAGCAACAAAAAGTGTATCCAGTTATTAAAAGGGTTTCCAGAATTTACACAAGCACACAACTTAGCCACAGCATGGTATCAGTTTTAAATATTTTCTTCCTATTTGCTCTCATTTTTGCATCTTGAAAGCAAGCATTCTGCTCTTACCAGGACTTGTGAGGGCTCCCAGAGCACCAGTCGTTGTGGAGAGAGGATTTGCATTGGTGGTAGTAGCTGAGGTTTGGGCAGCGGCTGCTGCAGCTGCTAAAGTTGCCAAATTCTGTAATTGTAAAGCGTTCATGCCTGTGTGGAGAAGCAATAGAGTTAATTAAAAGGTGCCATAAAAAACAACAGCAACAAAACCCAAAAAACCAATAAACTATTTTCAATGGGTGTATCTTCCCATGAGATTCAGTTTCCTTTACTCCCAAGACACTTACAATCTGGGAGCCACTTAAAGCCCCCAGATAGCATCTCTCACCTTTCTGCCTTCATAGTCAGAGAATATGGCAATGGCACCAGCCTATGGTTAGGAAAATTAAATCTGGCTGGTGTCACTTCGATAAGGGAAGAGTGGAATTAGAAGTCATTTAAACTCTGTGTGAATCCCAGGAGCAATACTATTCCCTGACACAACAGGGGGTGTAATGAAGATAACTTAACATTTAAAACAGATTCAATATAGGGTCATATAATTAGGATGAATATAATTTGTTTCCCGTGTCCCATCTGAATGTATCTACTAAGACTGCACTGTGCAGTAGCCAATAGTTGTACTGATTTTCCTTTGGATAGTTCATTTCTAAAACCAGGTATGTATTAAGAGCATCAAATTAGTATCAGACTGATCAAAGCACCATCACTGAAGCGGAGACTTTCAGACCATAAGCTCTACATTGTGATAACAAGAGTACTCAGTCAGCTGTTACTTCATTATTTCAGAAGATATGGGGGAGGTACACCTGCATTTCAATGAAGATCTTCAAGGAATGCATTCGTTTAAACAGCAAAGGATTTAACTTAGATGGCGAGTTAAAAAGGAGAAACAATAAATACAAATTATGTGAAATGGAAAAAAAGATGAACAAGGAACAGCAAATGGCATTCATTTGACTTAGAGCAATTGGGAGTCTCTTTTAAGGCACCTATCTTTTAGATTGGACTATGCCAAGTACTTAAGCCCCTATTCTACAGAGGACTGTTTCAGTATGAGACTATAACACAGATACAAGTTAGGTGCTAATATTAATCAGATTGGATCCTTCTCAGAATCCTATGGATAAGATGCAACTGTCCAAAGGAGTGATCACAAGGCAACATATTGGCATGGAACAGATTTTTTGGATGGCAGTGTGTGTTTACCAAGTTGGTTTGGACATGAGAGATCTCCACGTGTTTGAGCCCTTGGTAGAACTGAAAAAGCAGACACAGACCATAACATAGACCATAAACCATAATACTAGTTATATGATGCTTATATGAAGAGTAATACTTTCTTTTAGATCAAATGACAGAGCTGAGAAGACTACCTGAGTCTTGGGGAACATTCAGAGAAGAGCTCAAGTGCCTGAAAACTCATTCTTTTCTTTTCCTTTTCTTTTGAATGTTAGCTTGTCTAACAAGAGAGAGATATTACTTCTTTGTGCACACTTTGTTTCTCATACCAGGTGAACCTCATATCAGCTTGGAGAAGAAGAAGAAAAAAAGGAGTTCAAACCTATAGCTTTGTAAGCACGTTTGAGAAGGAAAAAACGAAACAGAGAGGCATTTTTTTTTTTTGTGAATTTGGTCCTCAGGTACCTTTTACTTTCCTCTTTTATAAGAAATATAAGTTATACAGCCTAAAATGTCCAGCAGACATTGTTCATCTTCACAGAGCCCCTTTTTCATGCCACACTATAATGGACATTTGATAAAGCAGTGGGTTGGCTCTTCGACATGGCAGCATGGATTTCTATCACCCTCTGGTAAGTAATTCATCAGTAGGATCAGTCATAATCAGCTTATATTTCTTCTGTGGTGAGGTTTCCACTTCCAATTTTTAAACAGCACATACAGCAGGATTAAATAATAGTGAGCAAATCACACAGAACAGTACAGGAGCTTCCTCAAACCAAATCCCAGATGCTTCTGGAAAATGTGGGAATCTTTCTCTAAACATCAGTATGGACATAAATAGATTCATAAGCAATTTAATACTGCTTTCTTTTTTGCATTTCATATACAGGGCCTTGTGTATGCATGCAAAGCTGAAGAAGACTGTAGCAGCAAAGAGTGTGAGCACAGAAGGATGGGAGCTGGAAGGCAATGTACATACATTGTACAGCTCTCAAGGAAGTGGCAAAACAAGGTCAACAGAACAAACAACAGCTCTCTTGGGCCCTGCGTGTCACTGTTGTGCCTGTGTGGATGCAAAACTAATACCAGCATTGCATCATCATGAAAAGCATTATTTTATAGTGGGACATTTCCTGTGCAAGGACAAGAGGGATACATCAAATTAAAGAAAGAGTTTCTATGCCAAAAGGAGATGAATAAACAAGTGAGGCAGTGACGGAGTTGTTTCTCCACCCAGTCTGTTTGAGCGCGGAGGTGACTAAAAGATACTGGCCACCAACCAGCTCTGCAGATGTTATGGGGTGTCAGCTATAGTGCCTTCAGGTAAAAAAGCAACCAACCTGCCTGCTGCTGTCATGAGAAGGAGCCCAAAGAGCCCCACAGCACTGAGTGCCCTGGAGTGGCTGTCAGCAGTGGCTCAGAGCACATGCAGTCCCCCAGCATGCCCTATAGCTGCTTGTGTCAGCTATTTATCATTTAATACACAACCTCTTTAGGATTCATTTTGCTCCAACTTTCAAAAAAAAAATAACTCTTGTCATCAAAGTTTTATGTTCCCTAGGCAGTTTATCGTCTCTCCCTTCGTTGGCTTTGCCCATCAACTTGACAAGCGCATCAATATCCCACTTGCTAAGACAAAATTGGAGAAGGGAAACCAAATACTCTCAAGTTCCAAATCCAAAATGTACTTTCCTTTCAAATGGGGATTTTGATTCAATTGAACTTCAGTCAAGGTATAGTTCTGTGGGACTAATCTGCTCGGTCATTCTCTCCTTTTTCACATACTGTCCTCGCACATTTCACATCCTGCAACTTTTTTAAAACAGTCCCAAATCCCACAATGGAGCTGGACTGAAAATGAGTAAATCGCTCTCATTTGAAAGTGCTGCTCACTCAGCAAATGCACCTCTCTCTCAAGAAATGCAAATTGCTTAACGCTGAAGAGCAGCCTCACAGGCAGAGTTACACATGAAAAATGGAAGTCCCCCTGTAGGGGAAAAACATTTCTGGGCAAGGAATAAGTCTTGATCTTCATGATAGAGACAATGTTGGGAATTAAAGTGAAATGATAAAAAAAAATCAAAACCACAACAGAATCACAGTACAGTTTGATTCCATTTTTAATAACATGTATTTACCAATGCGCTATTAGCTTGGCAAATAAATTGCAAGGAAATTCAACTTTCATTTTGCTATTTGGCAGATTAAAAAAACAATTAAATTATGTACAAAACAGATGCAAGGTATGCCTTGCTTGAAACTTAAGATTTTTAAAAAAATTATTTATAAGGATAGGGGCATGAAAATTTAATTTAATGTTCACCTTAGGTAATTTTGTGTCTTATTGTTCACAGCAATTACCATAAATCTACATATCAATAAGCAAGAACAGATGTCAGTTGTTACAAGTGCTTGCCAATCAGGCCTGTTAAAAAGTGACAGATGGATGGTGATAGAACATTCTCATAAGGCCTATTAGCACATTCGCAGGAAATTTTTGTAGTGCTGCACAGTCACAGATGCAGTTCTGTGAAAACACGGGGAAATTTGAGAGCACGAGATTTATATTCTACAACTCCTTGCTCTGCCTCCGACACAAACTTTCATACAATGAGGCAATTTGCCTCGTTTCAGTCACCACAGCTTTTCTCCTGTGATATCTGTAAATTTGAAATTATTGGGTTATTTGTAGAGGAGGCAGCAGAATCACAAACCATTCCTGAAGTCTTCCGAGATCTCTTCAGATCTGGGTTTCCAAATATTATAGTAAAATTATATTAGGAAATAGCTTAATTTGCTTGCTGAACAAATGCTGATAAAGCACTGACCACATTTTAGTGACAAGATATGCACAGAGAATTTCAAAATCGGTGGTGATAATCAGAGTTGCGTCTGAATCACTCCTAAGCAGTTTCCAATAGCTTGACCTCTGCTGTTGCCTATCTTTCTTTGGAAATTGTATCTATCCCAATTATAAGGATTTATTCTTTTTGAATTATATTCTGACTGCAGGTTAAAAACTGTGGATTAAGGTAAAATACCTTAATCATTTCTAGGCCAAAAAGCATCCATTTCCTGGCACTGATACCAGCCATTCTGGATGCTTATGTTACAAACTGGGGGAAAGTCTTTTCAGGCTGAGTCTGAAAGTGCAGTGTTACTCCAGCAATACTTAAAGAATTGAAAGGGACAGGAGACTGTTACCTCCATTAAATCATACATACGGTGTGCCTACCTTTAGAAAAGCTGCTTATCTCAGAAGTGCTTAAGGTATCCTGACTACTTACTGTTTGAGTTAGGAAAGCCCCTAAAACAACTTTTAAGTCCATATTGGATTCTACCCTGGTAATCACGTTATTTAAGAATACATGCTTAAATCCAACCGAAAGTTAGAACCATCGGTTGACTTGCACAGGATTTCAGTCCATTTCCAAGTTACACAATCTCTTAACGCATTCCTGGCATGAAATGTGCTTTTTTCAAGTGAAAATTTCCCAGTCTTAGTTGGAGAGATCCATCTGATCTAACTTCACGAGAATTAAAATTACCCAGGCTTTTTTTTACAGTCAAGGGAGAGAGTATGAATTCATTGAATTAAAGTAGGTAAGACTAACATGGTAAAATGACTTGCTGCCTAGGAATGAATCCTCTCCACTGACATTATAGGGAGTCTGGATGCCCAATTTCCAAGCTGCTGCAGGTCAGTGAGATGACTTCCAATCTCAGAGAGGCCAAGGGAATCAAAAGCCTCTCTCCCTCCTTCTGTTGTTTCTTGAAAGCCCAGCCAGATTTACAGATCTTGTATCCAGACTTGGCCAAACTCCACATCACACACTTTCACCATCTGAATAAGCACATCTCGTAAGCTGCGGAGCCTTGGTTTTCCTCTCCAGGTGCTTCTCCTTCTCCCATGAACAGGAGCTACACATGGATTGGCAAGAGCCACACTTCCTTCAAAATCTGGT